TTAGACATCAAAATAACTTTCAAATGTTTTATTATCAATTTCCAAACACTTTGGAGAGTTCTGTAAGTGTCATTGAATAGCTAAGTTTCTCATTGTGCAAATGCTTATTTGTGTTCATGAAATAGCAAAGTAGTATGTAACTAAATACATTTTTTATTCATTTAATATTATTTAAACCAAAATCATTAGATCATTAGCTAACTTTTTGAGCATTACCTGCCAAGTACTGTTCTAAGCATTTTACAGGTAATAACTCATTTTTCCTGTATAACATCTCTGTCAAGTATCCATTATTATCTCAATTTACAGATGAGAAAATAGAGGGCAAAGAGATTAGGTAACTTGCCCAATTATTACATAAGGAGAAATGTATAATGAAGTTTTGGATTATTCTTAAGGACTAGGTTTTCATTGGGTAACTTTTTTTTTATTCATTCAGAAGATATTTATTCAGTGCCAACTATGTGCCAGGTACTGTGCTAGAAGCAAGAGATATAAACATGATGAGTTCCTTCACCAACCCAAGCATCTGGATAAACAACCATCACCCAAGTCCACATGTGTATTAAATAATACCGAAACCTATTAAATAATACCTAAATAACCTATTTTCTGCAGGTACTGCCTAGCAAGCACTGTATCAAATGGCTGGCATTTTGACAAACGCCTGTATTTGGTATTAATGTTTCTACCTATTAAACAACTATTTGGCATCTTCTATACAACTGTACTGAAATGCCATAGAAATGCTCATGCCTCTGTGTACTGAGAGCCTTTATTATATGATTTGTAGTGATAGACAAAAGAAGGTGAATACTGAGAAGAGAAGCTGGAGGACCAGAAACATACTCTTTACTAGTTTAGACTTAGTCCTCTATTGGAAATAGTGAGAGTTGCATATTTCTCATTCTCTTCTTTCGAAGATGGCTGTATTTGACAAATGGTTTCCTAGAACACTATTGCCTTCTTGTTTCATAAATAACTTTTTTAATGTTTTATATCACAAATTCAATTTTATAATGCATTTCTATCTATTTAGCTTAATTCTAGGAACAAATCACCCTTCTTTTGTTATTTTTAAACTGTTTTATCAAAAGTGGAATTGTCATTGACTCTAAACCATTTCATAACTGAGAGATCTGTGCAAATAACCAATGAGAAATGGGGTTATATTTGAGATGACGTCCTGGACTGTGAGGGTTCCCATGGCCATATAAGAAAGTTGAAGTGAAGAAAAGGCAATTATCCTTTGGGCCAGACACCACGGTTCTTAGGATTAGATAGAGAATATTAAGGGGAAGTGAGATGCTTTTTTCTGAAAATTTGCTTACTGCACCATTCACTTAATACCTGGACTTTCCTTTATAAATCATAAGCCTGGAATTACTTTTATTTATTTTTGTTTATTTTTTTATTGCAGTAACATGGGATTATAACATTGTATAACTTTCAGGTGTACATCGTAATATATTTCGAATTCTGTGTAGATTACATCATGTTCACCACTCAAAAACTGATTATAATCCATCATCACACACATGTGCCTAATCAATCACCCCTTTCTCCCTCCCCTCTCCCCCTTTCCTCTACAGTAACCACCAATCCAATCTCTGTTGCTACGTGTTTGTTTGTCGTTGTTTTTACCTTCTACTTATGAGTGAGATAATATGGTATTTGACTTTCTCCCTCTGACTTATTTCACTTAGCATAGTACCCTCAAAGTCCATTCATGTTGTCACAAATGGCCCGATTTCATCATTTCTTATGGCTGAGTAGTATTCTGTTATGTACATATACCACATCTTCATCCATTTGTCCCTTGATGGGCACCTAGGTTGCTTCCAAGTCTTGGCCATTGTGAATAATGCTGCAATGAACATAGAGGTGCATGTATCTTTATGTATTTGTGTTTTCAAGTCTTTGGATAAATACCCAGCAGGGGAATAGCTGGATCGTATGGTAGATCTATTCTTAATTTTTTGAGGATACTCCATACTGCTTTCCATAGTGGTTGTACCAGTTTACACTCCCACCAGCAGTGTACCAGGGTTCCCTTCTCTCCTCATCCCCTCCAACACTTGTTGTTTCCTATCATGTTAATTATAGCCATTCTGACTGGAGTGAGGTGATACCTCATTGTAGTTTTGATTTGCATTTCCCTGATAGCTAATGATGTTGAGCATCTTTTCATATGCCTGAAGGCATCTGTATACCTTCTTTGAAGAAATTTCTGTTCAGATCTTTTGCCCATTTTTCAATTGGGTTGTTGGTTTTTTTGTTGTTGAGACATATGAGTTCTTTGTATATTTTAGATATTAACCCCTTATCTGATATAGGGTTTCAAATATCTTCTCCCAACTTTTAGGTTGTCTTTTTGTTTTGTTGATGGTTTCCTTTTCTGTGCAGAAGCTTTTTAGTTTGATATAGTCCCATTTTTCATTTGTCCTTTTGTTTCGCTTGCCCGGTCAGACATGTACTCTAAAATATGCTGCTAAGACCGATGTCAAACAGCATACTGCTTATCTTTTCTTCTAGAAATTTCATGGTTTCAGATCTTACACTCAAGTCCTTAATCCATTTTGAGTTGATTTTTGTGCATGGTGTAAGGGAATGGTCTTCTTTCATTCTTTTGCATGTGGCTGTCCAGTTTTCCCAACACCATTTATTGAAGAGACTCTCCTTTCTCCATTGTATGCTCTTGGCTTCCTTGTTGAATCTTAGCTGTCCATAAATGTGTGGGATTATTTCTGGGCTCTCAATTCTATTCCATTGATCTGTATGTCTGTTTTTGTGCCAGTACCACGCTGTTTTGGTTACTACAGCTTTATAGTACATTTTGAAATCAGGGAGTGTGATACCTTCAGCTTTGTTCTTTTTTCTCAGGAATCCTTTGACTATTTGGGGTCTTTTGTTGTTCCATATAAATTTTAGGATTCTTTGTTCTATTTCTGTGAAGCATGTTGTTGGAATTTTGATAGGGATTGCATTGAATCTATAGATTGCTTTAGGAAGTATGGACATTTTAACTATGTTAATTCTCCCAATCCAAGAGCACAGAATGTCTTTCCATTTCTTTGTGTCTTCTTTGATTTCTTTCAACAATGTTTTATAGTTTTCGGTGTACAGATCTTTCACCTCTTTGGTTAGGTTTATTCCTAGGTATTTTATTCTTTCTGTTGCAATTATAAATGGGATTTTATTCTTAATTTCCCTCTCTGCTACTTCGTTGTTAATGTATCGAAATGGAACTGATTTTTATATGTTGATTTTGTATCCTGAGACTTGACTGAATTCATTTATTATTTCTAAAAGTTTTTTAGTGGATTCTTTAGGGTTTTCTATATATAAAATTGGAATTACTTTCAAATCAAAGTTTTATATGAAAAAAAAGACATTCCGTAACAAAACAAAAGGCTCTAGATTAGATCACACTAATAAAAAATATTGGTGGTGTTTAATTTATTAAAATTCCACCATTTTGATTACAATATAATTTGTGATGTTTGCAAGTAAACAAGCCTTTTAAAAATCACTAGCTGTTATCTAGTAGTCTACAGTTGTGGAACCAGAAGTTCAGATTCTGAATAACTCTTCCAAAACACTGTATTTCTGCATCAGATGAAGATGACTGCTCTTATCAATAATTAAGACTGCAGATTTCTAGAAAAGTTAAGACTTTGCCTGAGCTGTGCTGTGGTTGATGTGCATTCTCAAATCAAGGGCATGGTAGTTCTTTGAAAAATAATTTGTTGTCACTTTTTGGGAAATTTGATGCTCTCTCTTTTGGGGAAATGTGGTTAACTGAAAATCATAAGAGCTAAGAGTCAAAGGATTGGCATTCTTGTCCTCAGTGTTATGCTAACTAGTCACATGTCAAAAGGCAAGGAACTTAAGCAGTCTTTTTAATTTGTTTGGTTGGTTTTGAAATTAGGGGAGCAATATCTGTCCTGCCTACTTCCTAGACTCATAAAACTTCAACTATTCATATGCAAAAGTTCTTTGAAGAGATAAATATGATATAGAAATATAATGCATGCTTTTGGGGGGATTTCTTGGGGGTGAGTTTGTAAAATATTAATATTTACTGGATTTCATTGCCTGCTTCCCTGTACAGCACTGTTTACAATCTAATATGTGCTTACTCATTGCAGTTACATGCGTGCTTACTAACTAGGATATGTGTGCTTATTCTCCTCTGCCCCTGGATTGAAAGTATCATTATAACAGAGGACATATTTTTATTATATGGAGTCCTATCCCCAGCACTTGTGCACTGATGAGCACAGTGGATGCTCAATAAATAATGGTTGAATGAATGGAAGCATGCCTCCTAAATGCACGGTGCATTTACAGTGTATACCATACATTTGTACTTGCTCCTTAAAACTGTTCAAATTAACATTGTTTTGAGTTTCATTTAGGGGGAGTTATTTTGGAATTTAGATATACTACAAAAATCAAAGCTGGAGATCATGTCTATGAATATTAAAATATTGATGACTCACTTCTTCATAATCACTTCTCCTCTGACCTGAAACCCAAATAAGTTGTAATGCAAAGATTTTGCATTGGGGTGAGAGTTTGAGAGCATTCAGTGCTGCACTGATAACTTAAGTGATTTTTCTCTTCTTTTATCTTCTCTTAGAGCATCATCCAGGGGTATGCGACAATGTGATAATGTTAGAGATAGCGAGATTTATAATCAGATAACCCTAGGTTCAAGTCCCAACTGTACCATTTCCTAGTTGCAAGACTTAGTGCAAAGCTTCTACAAGCCTTTATCATCTCATATGGGCCTGATTATACTTCCTTCGTGGGATTGTTGTGAAGATGAAATGGGATCATGTGCTTCAGGTCCTTAGCATGGTACCTAATACATACAGCCTTTAGCTGTAGCTGTTTTTATTTACATAGTTCATCTCCTAAACCAATATTCTTTCTGTTTTGTTTTGTTTGTTTTTGTTTTGTGTATGTGTGTGTGTCTATGTTTCCTTTTGCAGATGGATATACAACTGATGACATTGAGTTTTACTGGCGTGGGGATGATAACGCAGTAACAGGAGTAACAAAGATTGAACTTCCACAGTTCTCTATTGTAGATTACAAACTTATCACCAAGAAGGTTGTTTTTTCCACAGGTTTGTATCAGGGAAGAGGGTTAAAGGAAAAGGGGCTTCATTATATTTTGTCAAAAGAGTTCACTTAGATCAGGATTGGGGCCCAGGGAAGGACGATGACACTAGAAAACTTAGATCTGCTGAAAACCCTGCTCCCCATCAAGCCCGTTGCTCATTTGGAACCCAACAAGTTATTTTCCAGAAGGTACCCCCAGTAAAACTGAGAGGATTAGCCTTATGCCTCTCATTAGCCAGAAAAGGGACTAATTTTTAGAGATGCAATACAAAAAGAGAAATGAAGACCTGAGCCAGAGTTGGGAACCCCCAACTTTAGGCATCTCCCAGAATTTATCATAATGTTTTGAAACATGCTAGGGATAGCCAAGTCATAGGTCACTCAAGTCTGACCGCCGTGAAATTCTCTGAAGACAGTAAAGTGGGAAAATTTCACATTTCCCTCAAAAGGTGAGAATGTCTTGACATAGCCTTCCTCCCATTTTGGAGCCAAAAACCCTTCCAGATTATCTTGATGACTTCTCCATGCTCACTCTCATAGCATGGAGGTTTTAGATTGTCAAACTTGGTTTAATCAGCATACATTTTTAACAAAAAGCCCAGGAAAGTAATAATTTGTGACATAATCATTAAGGGAAAAAATAATAAGCCCACAGGAATATCTCTCTTTATGTTTTTCTAATTGAAATGAATTCCCAGGCACAGAGATAGCTAGAGCAGTAACTGCAGGTTTTGAATTGCCCTTCTGCTAAGGATTCAGGCACTTCCCACCCCTGCAAACTACTTCAAACAATAATTGTACCACTTAGGAAGAATACAAAGTAGCCTTTAGCTTTGAAATAAAGAACAGAAACTTCCTAAGTTTGAGGTCCTCTGAATCCCTGAGACTATAGAAATGTGTTCCTATTTAAAATATTTTTACTTTACTATTAAGACACTTGGTTTAGCACAAGAAGGCTAGACAAGGCTTTCTTTCAATTAGAAAGAATATTCCTCACCCCCACCATGCACACTATTTATTACTTTGAGTCTTTTATGTTCTAAGAGTGTGCTCAGTTACATATCTCTAAAGAGTAATTCCCCAGATCACCACAATGAAAGAACCCAGCATCATGAATATGATCAGGTAGCTCTATTTCCCACAAATATTGCTCAGGAACAGTGATTCTCTACTTTTTGGTTGGTCACGGATCCCTTTAGAAAAAAAACCTTCACAAAATTTCAAGATTTCAAGGAGTTGCTTCACTACCTTAAGCCTTGCCATTGATCCCAAACTTAAAATGCATCCCGGAGCTTGTGAAGAGATGTCTAAAATATGATCAGAATGTGCAGCCTTGTTCTTATACACAAAAAAATCTTATAGGATGGACTTGCTGAGAAACAATTGAGGAGGGAGAAAAGGGACTGTCCCAAACTGTCTTGTCATCACAATTAGAGAGAATGAGTGCCTGTGATCCAGTGTAGGAGGCTGAACAGGGAAGAGCTGGAATTCTTAGAATTACGGATGAGTAAGGGATGTATTCAACACTGAGTAACTCCTGCTAATTGAAAACCCAGTGTTCTCAGACTACCTTTGCAGAAGAAAGTGCCCTTCAGCAGGACAGGAGCTAAAATTGAATCTGAGGAAGTTATACGAACTGTTCAATGAGTTTTTAAAGGAAACTGTCCTATAAATATTGATTGATAATGATGTTCTGCAATTGCCTTTCTAGGTTCCTATCCCAGGTTGTCCCTCAGCTTTAAGCTTAAGAGAAACATTGGTTACTTTATCCTGCAGACATACATGCCTTCCATTCTGATCACTATCCTCTCCTGGGTCTCCTTCTGGATTAACTATGATGCTTCAGCTGCAAGAGTGGCATTAGGTAGGCGATTTGCTAACTGCTTGTGGAGTTTGATTCTGTGTGTGTGTGTGTGTGTGTGTGTGTGTGTGTGTGTGCACGCGCGCGCGCATGTGTGCTTGTGCATGCATTTTCCTTACCCTGGAATTTGTGATGTGTGATGAGACGGGACTGTACACATTATAAGAATATGGCTGTGAGACTTGGCTGATCTGATTCAGCATTAAATCCATTAAACCTCTTTCATGTCGAAATTAGTTAACTATATAGCTGTTGGTAATGAAATTAGTCCCATCAGTTTGATATTTGTATTATCGAAGCCTAGTTCATGGAATATTGCTTGATAATTGTTCAGTTTGTATCTGTGCTTCCTTACCTGGGAAGAGCTCCCTTCCACATTGCTTTTTCTGACCAAGAAACAGGGAAATGTAGTATGTAACTAATAGCTAAGGGGAAAGAATTCTATAGTCGTATTAGTATTTTGGAGTGGCATGGTGGAAGGCAGGAGACAAAAAGTAAGTATGTCGGGAAATCATTGGTGGCATCACTCATCTTATGCTTGATTTTTTTCTTTTATAACACCAGAGGAAGAGAATAATTATATTGCGTGAACATTTTTTTGAGGAAGATTGGCCCTGAGCTAATATCTGTTGCCAACCTTCCTCTTTTTGCTTGAGGAAGATTGTCACTGAGCTAACACCTGTGCCAGTCTTCCTCCACTTTGTATGTGGGATGCTGCCACAGTATGGCTTGATAAGTCATGCTAGGTCTGTGCCTGGGATCCAAACCTGAGAACCCTGGGCTGCCTAAGCTGAATGCACAAACTTAACCACTATGCCACTGGGCCAGCCCCCATGAATGTTTTTGTATTACTAACTTCCCATATAGTAAATTACAACCTTTTACACAATTTTAATATTTTGAGTTCTGACTAATCCCTTTAAAATGTTGAACTGTTAACTCCTCCACCATGAGATCTCAATGCCCTGTTACATCCCTAGAGAAGTCATTCATTTATTCATTTAACAAATATTTGTTGAACACCTACTATGTGCTAAACATAAGACGTACTGGAGATAAAGCAGTGCCCAGGTGGAAGTTATAGTCTAGCAGGAAAAGATAGATTAAAAATTTATTTCACACCGAACACACAAATTATATGATATGGGAAATCTATAGAGGAAAATAATCAAATTAAGGGGGGCTGGGAATGTCAGGGGGTACGGTTTAGAATAATCAGGGTAGACTTCATTCAGAAGTTGTCAATGGAACAAAGACTTGAAGAAAATGAAGAGCCATATGGATATCTGGATGAGAATATTCCAGCTTGCTGCAAAGGCCCTGAGGTAGCAATGTGCCAAGCATGTCAGCTGGCCAGTGAGACGAATGCAGAGTGACTTCAGGGGTTGAGATAATGTTGGGGAGAGGAGGCTAAAAGATTGTGAAGCAGTTCAGGGGCCATACTAAAGGCTTTTGCTTTTATTCTGAATGAAATTAGAGAGTCATTGGGCGAAGAAGTGACCTGATTTGATTTCAGATTTAAAGGGATCACTTTGGCTGCTGTGTTGAACTGAGATTGCGGTAGTTCAAGGATGGAAGGGAGAAATAATGCCCTCCTGGACTGAGTCAAATCTCCTCTGATATATTCTCTTAAAATATTGTAAAACTCCCCATTGTAGACCAACTGCAGTTATAATTTATATTTATTGGGTTTGTGATGTCCTTTTGCCTCATGGTATTGAAAGATGTATTGGAAAAAGGTCCACAGCTAACGATGCTTCCATTATATCTGTAGTGTTTCATCCAGAGATTGGTGTTCCATAAATGCTTGCTGAATAAAATAATAAGTGGAATTTGTAATTATTCTATTATTCCAAAGTGAAATCTGTTATTAATTTTGTGCTATTCAGGAATAACAAATAAATTGTTGATTTTTTTAAAAGAAATTTTTAAAATATCTTTTTATGTGAGCAATTTATTACTCTCTAAGAAATACCTTAAAATGAGATTTAGATAAACAGTAAAATCAGCATTGTCAGTTTTATAATATACATGTTGTACAGGATAATCTACCATTGAAATAATGAAGAGAAAAACAAAATTGGAAAATGTTTCAAAATGACTAATGTTATAGAAAAGATGTGAAAACTGTAAGACACCTAGATCTAAAGTAACAATAGGGTTTTTCTAGCCATGTTCAGAATCAGATGCTCAAATTTATTTTTTTCTGTAGTCATTTTACCAGCATGTAGAAAAACAAGGGAAAAATTATGATCTGAGAGAGAGAAAACTGAGTCAGAAAACTTCTGTTTCCAAAAAATCATAGAAATGAAACTTCACTTTTGGGATGTGCTATTGGGTAGAGTTTGAGGGCACAGGTTTCCTAGTCAGAGATCCACGTTCAAACGTTGACTCTCCAGTTCCCATCTGTGTGATCTTGACTCTGAGCTCTAGTTTCACATCACTCTTTTGCTGCAAAGCTGGACCATATCATACTTGGGACTCTGGACTCCCAGTGCTTTTGCCAGCATATCTCTGTCCATTCCCCCATTTACAGCCTTGAGGGAAACCGCTCCCCCTCTTGGAGATGCCCACTCAGCTGGACAAAAGGTTATGACCTGACCCAGTGTGACATTTCCCATAAAGAATCTTGTAAAACTTTTATATTATTTATCTGTGTTTTACATGCCTAGTTGCCCAAGCCAGAAACAATGAGGGCTAGACACCTGCTTCTCTGTTACCCTCTCCTCCAATTTCCAAATTTGTATAATCATTTGTCTGTATCATCTGTATAATACATTCATTGATTTCAATGCTGTTGTGATTATTTTATTTCCTCTTCATTACTTGGATTATTCTGAAAAACTCTTAACTGGTATTCTTTATTCCTGTCTTGTATGCTTCTCTTCTGTCCTCCATATTGCTACCAGGGTGATTATCTAAACACAATTTGTCCCTATGCCTCCCTGCTTGAAGTTGGTCAGTGGCTCCACATTGCCTTCAGTTTTAAGTTCAAACTCCCCATTAGGCTCTCTATATATGGCTCTCCATTAGACTGCCCTTACTTAATCTTCCCTCTCCTCACCATCCTTCCCATGATATGCAATAAGGTATCCACACTGACTTTCTTGAAATTCTTTTGATGGGCTGTGTACTTTCACCCCCTGCCCAAAACACCTCTTTATAAAAGCTCTCTCCACCACCAACGCCATCAGGTCTACCATCACTTCTACCTCCAGGCCTTGGTTGCCTGAGTAACTGTCACTCATTCTTCAGGACTCAGCTCCAAAGTCTCCATTTCCTGATCTCTTGCCTACCAGATCCCAAAGCTGAACTAGCATCTTCAAATTCTCAACTCTCACCCTACACACATCGTACCATAGCATTTAATTCATATATGTAGCCCCCCACTGGCTATATAACTATACATTTTTATATTTTTATATATAATTAAAGGAAATTGTTCCCAAATGATTAGTGTTTACTGTAAATTAATGTTTTATGCATATCTCCAGGGCCTGTTACAAAGCTGATATAAGTAAGTGCCCAGTAAATATTTTGTGGTATATATGAATGAGTAAAAGAGTACAATTAACCTTTCTAGCTATGATGAAAGCAGCAAGGAAATAGGAACATTATTACTCTAACTCTCTTATTTTTTTCAGGAATTACAACTGTGCTTACAATGACCACAATCAATACCCACCTCCGGGAGACTCTCCCTAAAATCCCCTATGTGAAGGCCATTGACATGTACCTGATGGGGTGCTTTGTCTTTGTTTTCATGGCCCTTCTGGAATATGCTTTGGTCAACTACATCTTCTTTGGGAGGGGACCCCAACGCCAAAAGAAAGCAGCTGAGAAGGCTGCTAGCGCCAACAACGAGAAGATGCGCCTGGATGTCAACAAGGTAAATTCAGAGGGCAAGCCCTCCTTGCTTACTAAACTCATAGAAGAATGCCAGCAATATAGATTAATGGCCTTGTTTAACAAATGAGTAAACCAAGGCCCAGGGAAAAGAGTAGGTAATTTCCCCCAAATCACAAAGATAATTAGTAATGGAGGCACATTTACAGCCCAAACTCATGACACAACTTTTGCATGCACTTTACCTGAACACTAGCATTGCCCATAGTCATCTGAAAACCACCTTTGTGACCTTTTCCATATATGAGGATAATGTGTACCTATTATTTACTTTATATTGATTTAAATTTACTTACTTTATTTAAATGTATTTAAAAGGGAAATTTCATATCCTTTAAATCAATATCACTTACTGGAAGATAACCTTAACAATAAATAAGTACAAATGAAACTATGTTATTAAATTCTAGGTTATACTAGATGAGGGCTCTGGACCTGGGCTCTGAATTCTCTTTGATTTAACAGGGAGATAAGTAAGTACAGAGATTTATTGCTCCAGCAACAAACTCATACTTTCTCCTTGAAGTCATCAGAACAATAGAAAGAGAAGTGGAGGGGAAAAAACAATAATTTTCTCCTCAAGTGACAGAGACTTACTTAATGCCTTGCATATGTTCCACTTAAAACCACTGAAGCATTTGACTACAGGAGGTCACCATCTTGCTTAACTCAGGCATAGTCAAAGAACAATTCCCACACAGTTGTAAACCCCATTTATTCTTTAAGTAAATAGTTCTCAACTTTGGGTGCCCAATTGAATGACTGGGAGAGCATTAAAAATGACAGAAGCCTGAGTTCCTTCCTGAGAAATTCTGATTTGATTGTCCTGGGATATGCCTGGGCATCATAATTTTTAAAAATTCTCCAAATATTATTCCAATTTGCAGCCAAGATTTAGAATCTCTCTTTTGAGGCTTTTGACAGCAACCCCAATGGATCCAATCCTCTTTACTCCCAAAAGATGACTTCACTTGGCTTCCTGTTATAGAACTTTCTGCACTAAACAGAATATTTATATATATATTCTTCCATAGTGCAAATTTAAACCCTTAAAAATAGACAAAGAAAACAAGGTCTTACTTTAATATTTTCATAAATCGTATTTACAAAGTAGAACATAATGTTGGGTTTGATAAATAGTTCGCAGTGATGGAAATAGGAAAGAATTAATAATTTTAAACCATCTGGAATTATTAGCCATACCAATAATTATTTAATTGACATTCTCATAGTTCTAACTTTAACTTCAAGGATAGCACACCATAAATAATCTTTACCATTGAGTTTTGTTTCGAGTAAACCCAGTGAAAGCTTCTGACTCACTAAGGTTTTCCACCTGTCCATAGGTCTGATATTTGGATTTTGGACTATTTTCTAATCAAAGGCACTCTTTTCCCAGGAGATAGTATTCATAATGATGCAAATTTTAAGTATAGCCCTTGAAAGCCAATGAACCACAGGTCTAGGAAATTATCAATGTCTTTCTAATGCCAGAGGTTTCACTTATTAGAGTCTGTCAATAGATTCCAAATTAGCATTATGGTTCTCTTGGGCTGTAAAGTGAGAGAATGCCTTTTAAACCCATTTTATGATTTTCCTGATATAGTAGACTTAGCAAAGAAAAGAAAATGAAGAAATAAATAAGACTATCTCACAGGACTGCAGTTTGAAATGAGTCTAAATCAATTGCCTAATGGAAAGCTGATTTAATAAGATAACATCCAATCTCTTTTCACTTTCATCTACCCTATTTTTTCATACCAATTTGAATTTAAATGATAAATTTACGACCCAGAGAGTGGCAGTTTGATAGCATACTGAACTTGGAGAGCTTCAGATGGTTCTAAATCCAATGTACTGAGACGGAGGTAGAGAATGGGTCACTGGGCAGGTACCCCATAGTGGTGAAAAGCCCATCCTCTTGGCTGAAGTTGGACCCACAATTCAGAGCATAGAATATGAGAGAACGAAAAAAGATACCAGAGTCCTTCTAGTGCAGTGGTTCTCAAAACACAGGCAATTTTGCCTCTGTGAGGATCTTTGGCAGGGTCTGTAGATATTTTGGGTTGTCAAAACTGGGAGGAGGGGGTTACTACTGGTATCTAGTGGGTAGAGGCCAGGGATGCTGCTAAACACCCTACAGTGCATCGAACAGCCTCCCCATAACAAAGAATTATCCAAACCAAAATTTCCATATTGCTGAGGTTAAAAAATCTTACTCTACTCCAATCTTCTGGTTTCAAACATGAGAAACTGAGGCCCAGAAAAATATAAGATGCTTGCCCTAATCTTAAAACTCTTCAACACAAGTGGTTTCTCTACTTCTTTGATCGGCATGCATAACATCAAGACATCAGGAGCTGTGATTTAGCACAAAGGTTCTGAACAAATATTTTGGAGTCAGTCATGTTCAATATTAACCCTCCATTTAATACTTGTGTGACAATAGGCAAAATAAATAAATAAATAAATAAATCAGCTTCTCTGACTCTTCACTTTCCTCATCTGTAAAATGGGATTAATTCCTCTCTCATAGGTTATTATGAAGACTATTTGTGATAATGTGTAGAGAGGATAATGTAGTCCTCAGTACATGGTAAGCAGCCAGTAAGTGGTAAATATTAATAAAATATTAAAATATTATAAATAATAACCATTATTACTTTTTTAAATAAAGTTTAGTCTCCAGACCTATTGGCAATGCGTGCTTGTGTGTTTTACATGCTCTAGCATGTAGGATGCAATCCCATCCCTAAAAGAGAGTATTATCTACAGAGAAATGTCTCTCTGTCGGAAGTTTTAAAGTCAAAGCAAGGGAATAATTTTTCAACAGGTACTAGCTATAAAAAATAGCAAACCAATTCCAAACTTTATCAATTATCTCTTAGGCTAGAACACTAACAGCCATCTTGATTAGATTAAAACAAGAAAGGTGCCAACCCCCAACTCCCATGGTTTCCTTTTAATGCAGGGTGAAAGGTTAGAGGAGATTCACTTAGGGCTCTGATTGCACAATGCTTTCTTTTATGTCAGCATCATGAATAATGCTAATCTATTTCTTATTGAGAATGTCCCTTCTTTTCAACTGCAATTCTGAAGTTATTTTTTTTTCCAAAGATGGGCCACATATAATCAACTAAGTATTGTAGGCTGCTCTGGAAAAATCGGTCACTAGGAGAATTGACGTTTTCTGCTTCCGTTGACGGATTATAGAGACGGAACCAGCACGTCAGATCATCTAAAGTGATTTTTACACTTTGTCTTTTGGGCTCTGTCCTGAGGCTACAGAGGGATGAAAATGGGAAGCCTAACTGAGTGGGACCCCACTGTTGCTTCAAGGGCATACTTCCACATTTTTCCCCATCTCTTCTCTGTGTTAGTTTCCTGTAATTTCTTATCTTAACAAGAGTATCCACAGCTTTTAAATGAATTTTTATCCTGTCATTTAATTGATGTAAAAACTAGGGCTCTTAAGTAAAGTGAAATATCCAAAGTTGCATAGCAAAGTTAATAAAGTTTCTGAGATGATCTACGCCTTCCAGTCCTTATTCGGTGTACACGCCACTGTACTAGCAAGCAAAAAAACTAAATTAAATTAAATTAAAAAGCTGATTCCACATTAGTCATATATTCAGTTCAGTTGACTTCACCTGAAAAACTCCACCTATCTACACAAGAAAGTCCATGCCTGACAAGCAGTGTCACTTTCACAGTGGTCTTCATGCGACAAATTAAGTTGTAAAATATTAAGATTTTTTAAATAAACCTCAAACCGACAAGAGGTCTACTGAATATTGTTTTCCTAAGTGTCTTCAAAAAAATATGATCTCTATCCTAGTGTTAGGTGAGCCCTTCCTATTATCCCTTGCATTCTTCTATTTGTGTGTGTCTGTGTGTTTCCTTATAGAATTTGCTTTTGATTAATTTCACCCACTTTTCTTGCTCATGCCTTTAGTTTTTCAGCTCTCCTTTTTTTCTTTTAAGGTTTCTGTAGTTTCCTTGTTTATTTTTCAATAACTCAATAGTAACATATTTGAGAATTTAGTTACGCCTACATTTTCACCACCTTGGTTCTTGCATATCTGAAATGTTTTCATCATCTGTACCGTATTGACAGACCCACAACCACCAGTTTTCCAAAGAAAGTTGCACCACAAAGATCTCCATTTGGGGACATTCTTTGTTCTGCTTTCATGTGTATTGTGAGTCTCTGTGTTGTCTTTATCCATTGTGCCTAATTTTTTATTATGCACAACCACTAAGATCACTTAAATCTATTATTTTTAGCACGTGGAATTCACTTTTTTTTAAGGATACATTAAAAAGATACAACTAATTAGAAGTCCTATTCTCTGTTAGCATTGGTCTTTCTAAAGACCAGTAGCATTTACTTACCTACATCCAGTTTGCTTTAACCACCAATCCTGACCTAGTGGCATCAGTCGACTTAATTAGCACATTTTCTACTTTGTCTTCCAGATTTTTTATAAAGATATTAAACAAAATGGGACCCAATATCGATCCTTGTGGGACCCAACTGGAAACCTCTCCCCAACTAGACGGACTACCAATTACGATTTCTCTCTGTATACGGTTAGATAGCCAGTTTTTAATCCATTTATTTGTATTTCTGTTGGAGCCAATTTGTTTAGCTGTTCCCTTTAAAATAATGTGTTGGGTCTTGGCAGATAACCTATGGATTTGTGTCCACAGAGTCTGGGGATAAGTTGAATGTTTTCATGAGACTCTAATGGGGTTCTTCCAGGTTTGTTTTTTGCTATAGTGATGATGAACCTAAGCTTTAGCATTCCATTCAGTTGTTATTGTTGTGCTAGAGAAAGAAACTAATTGGCTCATATTTTGAGATTCCTTCTCATTTGTATTGAGAATATAGAGTGTTATTATATACTCTGGCATTTCTTAGATTTCTTGTTGTATTTCTTTTGATTAGTGGAATAGGTGAAGAATATACATTTCTTCTACTGGTTGCTTCAGAATTCAGGAACCTATATTTTCTGTCCTAGATTATTAATTTGTGTCTAAGAATGTTCTGTTTGCATCAAGTCCTTGTTGCTTTATTATTATTCTGCAAATAAGCTTTATCTTGGCAGGCCCAGCACTATTATAATGATAGATAAGAGGCAATAATTGAGATTGTTCCTTATCAAAACTCTTCACTTAAGTGAACTCCAAAGAAAGCTTATTTTTGTCTAATACTTAAAGTTTAGTTTCTGAATCCTCATGTGTTTTCATTTCTTAATTTCAATTCTTAATATGAATTGTCATTCATATTGCCCTCCAAATTGGAGGACCAGGAGGAAGAGATGATAATTGTCACCATTCCACCTTATCATCCATTACTTGTCCACCTCGAGTTTCTTTGTTTGTTTGTTTGTTTTCTCTTTCTTGGTGAGGCAGTAAATGACACTGAGTGCTTGCGAATCTTTCCTATGAGGACTTGATGCCAGAAGAGCTGTCATTATTACATCTTCTAAGTATTATGGTCTTCCTTAATTTTCTTGCTCTGACCCCAAATTCCTTGGTATCTCATTGATATTGCCTTTGGGTTGGGGGAACAGGTATAATTAACATAGTAAATCGCTACTTTGTTTTGGTATTTTAAGTACTTTTTAACTTCCTTACTTGGGTCGTATATCCTGGCAGAGTCTGGTAACCGGTGTTCGGTAGATTTCAGAAGAGATGTTTGAGACTCTGTTAATCACTCTTTTAGTCCTAATCCCCTGAACATCTAACCCCTACTGTGTCTGTTCTCTCAGGCTATCTCATTGTGGTGGTGCTGCTGTTCTTGTTTTCAACTCTAGCTACTCTTGTTGAAATTGAATAGAATGATTTGATTGGGGTGTATTCTGGGTAGAATGCTAATCATTTAGGAGAAAACACATTTGATAGTTGGAGTTTGGGTTTGTGATGCAAACGGTTAGAGAATATTGTATTTTTTCAAAACCAAAACAAAAATATGCTGCGTAATTGGTCTAATGAATGGGTAAAGTTACATGAAAATTTAGGAAAATCCTCAGATTATGAGGATATTTTAAAGGAAATTTGGTTCTTTGGTTCATTAAATTTTTCAGTTGATGGCTTGAAAGAGTTGATGAGACTCTCTGATACCATGATTTAGACCCTCATTTGTCAAGGACTTTTCTCTGTTTCATAAAAGTTTATGTTAAAGAGAATGTTCAATGATTTACACTGAAATATGAATCTTAATGTCTTCTGCTTTTATGCTTTGCTTTGTTGAGTATGTCTTTATTCTGTCCTTTGAATTCTCTTCTAAGTTCATTTTAGAGTATGAAATAAGGACTGATATTCAAAAATTTGAATAACGAGCTGTTAAACCCGTAACCTGTGAAAACAGCGAGATGTATATGACAATTTCTAGAGGCAGTAGAGTTTGCTGGGAAGATGCTGGCTTTTAGAACCAGACTGAACTGAGTTCACGTTTAGGCAGGGCCTTTTATCAGCTGTGTGACATTGGGCATGTTTAACCCTTTCACCTTCAAGTTCCTCAACTGAAACTGAAACACTAATTTCGGCCTCATGTTGCTGCTGACAGGATTAAATGAGATAATTATTAAAGGTCTTAAACAGTACCTTATACAGACAAAGAGCACTCAATAAATAGTTCCTGTTATGCTGGAGATGGTAGCAGAGAGTCTGTATCTTTCTTAGTTTTTCTTTTTTTTTAGCTCTTTACTATTTTTATGATTATAAAACTGAGTCGATCATTCTTTGAAAAAAAAGGCAAATGAGAACCACCTGTACCCCATGCCCAGCTATAATCACTGTTAACAGTGCCTTTTATTCACATTTAGTGACATACTTTTATATAAATAATTTTGCTCCACTAGTGTGTATACTGCTATTTCCCACATGCCTTTTTGTATCTTTAAATATATATCTTTTCTAATAGCTGCAAGGTATTTTGCTGAATGTAGGTACCGTCATTTATGTAACAAGAACCTATTGTTAGATATTTGCGTTGCTTCTAAGTGGTTTTCCATGATAAAGAACTCTAAAATAAGCATCCCATTGCTGACATGTTTGCGCACCATTGGTTCCTGATATATTTATTAAAATGGAATTTCTGGGTCTGAAAGTATGCACCTTTAAAATGGTGATCATATTGCTAAATTGTTCCCTACAAAAGTTCTGCTAGAGTTTACATACCTACTGGCACCATATGAAAGCATGGTCGTACACACACACACACACACACAAATATCACTCAGCCTTTGAAATGACGAAGAAACAGAAAGCTGATGTCTAACTGTGTTCAACCGTGAGAAGCGTTCAAGAAGTAGAGATAGAAGATCCACAAACCCACGTGCAATTTTTCTCCTCTCCATCCAACGGCACAGAGAGTAAAACAGCAGTAGAAAAGCAAAACAAAAACAATCGATGCCCAACTCAAACTGTAGCTCTACAGAGAGGGAGAGATGCATAAGCGGGGTCAATATTAGTGAAAGCAGAATCTAGAGAAATCTACTCAAGCTATGTTTCAGGAAATGGGAAAACCCTGGAGAAAACTTCACATCAGGATGAAGCATCTTAACAAAGAAAGAGCATAGCAACTATGCAGAAAAACTACCAAATGACTCTGTGTCTTTCTCTCTCATTTGGTAAACAGAGGAACTCAGGATGCAAAAGACAGACAATGGCTCTTTTATTGACAAGAAAAAGAAATACTTTAGGATCAATTAAAACTTTTTATAAAAAAAGCTTTTTTCTCACCACAAATTGGAACAGGATATGAAACGAAAGATCAAGGATGAGATGATAAACAAGAGGCCAAGAGGTGATTAAAAAGGCAAAAAGGAAGGTAAAGCAATCTTTGTAGAAACTAATAACTGAATCTAAAACAGTAAGAAAGAGAATAAGTGTGGCAATAAATCAAGGCTGTAACAAAAAGTTCCAGCTGTAGAAAATCATGCCAAATGCAGAGGAAAAGAGATGTCAAGGGGCCGGTCCGTGGCCAAGTGGTTAGTTCATGTGCTCCGCTTCAGCAGCCCAGGGTTTTGCTGGTTTGGATCCTGGGCACGGACATGGCACCACTCCTCAGGCCATGCTGAGGTGGCATCCCACATAGCACAACCAGAGGCACTCACAACTAGAGTATACAACTACGTGCTGGGGGCCTTTGGGGAGAAGAAGAAAAAAAGAGAAGATTGGCAACAGTTGTTAGCTCAGGTGCCAATGTTTAAGAAAAAAAGAGATAACATAAAAACCACTTAAAGAAAACATAATAAATTTATAGGACAAGTACAGTGGATTGAACGTGCAGAACCATGGTGCTAGTGAGGTACAGAATGGAGAAAAAGGGAATGGAAAAAATACTTAAATCTGATGTCAATAGGTAATTATAATAATGATAATGATAAATACTTCTTGAATGCCTTCTATGTACCTAGACACTTTACATATATTATGTCATAACGTAAGTCCTTATTACCCTATGGTGTAGTAATTATAATTTTATAGATAGGAACTGAGACACAGGGAGCATAATTAACTTGTTTAAATTTAGACAGCTAAGAAATGGTTGAACAGAATGTATGACTAGAGGCCACACTCTTAACTTCTATGCTGTATGTTATATATTTATACATACCTGTGATGAAATTAATCAGTTGGCCAAAAGGATGTACTGGGTTCCAAGATAAAAATTATACAGTCTCATCACCACACTATTATATCCTTCTGAAATTACTAAACCTACAGTCAGAAAAAGTGAATGACTTACAAGGAAGAGAAAAAGAAAAAGGTCTCAAACTACTCCACAGCAACATAAAATTTTATAAGACAATGGCAAAATGTTACCAGATTCTGAGGGGGAGAAAATATAACCTAAAAATATTATTATTAATATATAAAAACAAAAGAAAGATTATCCTCAATATGCAAGGTCTTAGGGACTATAGCATCCATAAGTCCTTATTATTATTATTATTTTAAATAGCTTGATGGAAAAATCTAGCTCCCACCAAAAGGTAGTCAAAGTGAGGAACTTAAGAATAGAAAATGCCAGTATTCTAGCATTTAAAACTTAAGATAGCATGTCGAACTAAAGCTATATGACCCCAGAAATTAAAGTTACAGAATAAAAGATAATTGAAATATTTTAAAAAACTAGATACTGAAGGTACATAAAAAGAATAAATTAGGATGGGTATTGTTGAGAAGGGAGAAAGTGTTTGTTTTCTAATACACAGCAAGGACTCAATATTTACTCTGATTTTTAGAGTTTATGAATCAAAAAATTGAAGATTAAGGTTATGTTTAAAATTAGCATACATAACTACTATGATAGTGTTTCTCAAAGGGTCTACCATAGACTGCCTATATTAGGGTCATCTGGGATGCTTGCTTTAAAAGTAAATTCCACCTGAGACACTATAAGTTGAAAGCTTTAGTGGGAAAGTTGAAGAGTCTGTCAGATCTTTCAGATGTACACTAAACCATGAAAATCTGAGGATCATTATGGTAGAATAATCAAAAACTGACAATTCATCTTATGAAAACTTTCAATAAGAAGGAAATAAAGTAAAGAAAGGTGTAAATAATGTAGCTAAAGC